TCCTGGGAAGAATCTCAGACATGTCATGCTTGGTAGCATTTCTTTATTAAATTAGTATTTCGGCAGAAGTTGCTTACAATTGACACCTGTCAGACTTTGGCTGTAATGTGAGCCCAAGCACGGGGGGCTGAGGTGAGGAGGAACAAAACATACAATGATGTGAAATGTTGTGTTTGCCAGAATTTGACCATGACAGTGGAGAAATGGAAAGGGTATGCTGGTTAGAGAGGGAATTAGTACAGCAACATGGAAGGGAAAATTAGCCTTTTACAAGTATGTTTTATGGAATAAATATTCATTTCCTTGCTATTTACAATATATTTTATATTTTATTTCTGCAGGGGAATATTTTTCTTTTCATAATTAGAATAATAATTTTTTCCATTGTGTGCTCTGAAGAGAATTTACATGTAATCTCCTTGAGTGTAAAGAACTGTGTCATATTCATCTTTACAGCCCCAGAAATCTTGCAACAATACCTAGGTTATAGTATTAGCCTCATTCAAGTCAACCAAATTACTAAATATTATAAAATCCACATTAGAAAGACAAGGATTTTTAAAAAATTATCTCCAAGTTTCGAAGTTCTTAAAATATTTTTGCCAGTTTTTAGCAGTTCACATAATCAGAAATAGCAGCCCAAGATCTACAATGTGTTGCCATGTAAACCTTTCTTGTTCTATCCAATATGTATATGAAGCAAATGTCTTAATTATGGACATATTTAGTAATGTTATATGAAAATAATTTGTACTTGAATTTTTTTCATTAAATAAAAACCGTATGTCAACTGATTTTCTACACCAAAGTCATCATAACAACAACTATCTGGATAATTCATGGAAAAGCAAGGCTTTTTTATACAAACAATAGACATAAGTTTAATTTGACTTGTTGTTGTACATATCCAACAATAACCTATTAAAGAATTATCTTAAAATTGTTTATAAATATATAAATTGTATAAATAAGTCCTGTGCTTCCTTTTATCTCATGAAATAAAAATATACTTATTGTATCTATGCTGTGTATCTTAGATACATTTTATTTCTATAAACATTATCACACAACTTCCTTTAAGATGATATTAAAATTTAACTGTGGATTCTGCCACATGTACAGCAGGATAATACATTTATAATTATTTTGATAGTTAAAATATGGTTTTAATTTCATCAGACTTATTTATCTTTCCGAATCTAACAAAGATCTAAACAACACAAAAATACTTAAAAAAAAAAAGAGTAATGGAAAATATTCATAGCATTGTCTTTATAATATGACTGAAAGACCTAGAGAGAAAAGCAGGGGTTAAAAATTATTCTTTAACCACCCACACACCTCTGAATTTTGAGAGGAGGCACCTCTAATACTTTTTCTTCCTGCAGTATTTGTTCCTTAAGGAAGTCTGTGGGTGGATAAGAAGTTATTATCCCTCCTACACACACCCGTTTTCTTATTTACAACATTAAACTTCCATATATAAGTACTTGAAACACCAATCATTTTCTTTCTATCACTTTCTCCAATTCTTTGGAATTTGGACCACATATTACCTCCCAATAGCACACTTCACAGTTAGAGTTTATCTTTAATTTTTTTTTATCAGGTGTGAATCTATCCAAAAAATTTATTTGATGTAGATGCCTTTCAAAACAAACATTTATGTTCAAAAACAGAGTTCCATAAATGGCGGGTCCTATGTTCAAAACTAATAATACAAAATTATCTTTTGTATTAATGAGTTTTCTTAAACACCAAAAGAAGAGGATACAGTCACTGAAATGGGACAGCCAAACACTAAGATTTGTATGAAGCATTTGTATCTTATTACTCTACAAATCACCTTTAGGAGAGAATGCATCTGTGTGGATCATGTTGGAAACACAGTAAACATGTTTTATCTCAATACAGTTAACCATTTGAATTGTTTCAGCTGAGTAAATAGGTCAATAGTTAAAGATTTTAGAACTCCCTGTAAAATGTACAATAACAAGTTAAAATAAATTTTATAAAACCTCTATGTCCCTTTCATGTTGTAGTAAAAAGTTGTCTCAAATGCAGTAAATGACAGGTATACCCTTGTGCAAATGGGTTAAGCTTAAATTATTTTTAGAATAATCAGGTCTAATATTCATTACTACTGTAATATTCATTCATGTTAAAATATAGGACAATCTTTCAAAAGTAATAGTTGATATATTTTTACATGATTTTAGATTTGTGGGTTTAATGATATCATTTATGATAGTCACACATGATAAATGTTTTGCAAGTAAATTTCTTCACTTCACCCTTTTGTTCAATGTACTCCACTTTGGAATTATGTTAACTTTTGCTAAAATAAGAGATTAGAAAATAACTATTAACCATCCAAAGTGCTTGCCAAGTAAACTCATTATTAATTAAATACACATTACTGAGAATATGTTATATAGAGATTAGTTAGAACAATCACTAGTTACAATTGTTGGATTAGCCAAACAATCACAAGTTATTCAATCACTTCTGCTTTATTCAAAAATAAAGAAAGCTGATTCTGGCCTCTCAATACCTTGGTAATACGAACTCTACAAAAATACAGGGGAAAGTCTATCATCTATACAAGAGAGATAGCAAGTCACATATATCTTACGATTACAACCCAATGGATATATGAACTGAATTTGTGCATGTCATTCTAAACTAGGTTTTTAGGTTTTAGTTACTAAGTGTTTTTGGCATCCCTTAATAAAGAATTTAAAGAAAATTAAAACTAATAGTCTTACAGAGCAAAGTAACATGTAGACTAGAAAAACAAGTAGTTCTGTTAAGAAAAACCTGACCAGTCTCTAATTTTAAACATTGTATGCAATTAGGAGCAAATACTCATCACCACAATTTTCAGAACTGCCATTATTTAAAATAATAAGCTCAGAATTAAATGTATTATATGCTTTTTTTTCTAAAGCAAACATTGGAAGTTGTTTTTGTTTTCTCCAAGTTACTATAAAGCACCTACAATTGAAAGGAAGAGTGATTAAAAACAGAAAAAGACAAAGAAAATAAAAAAGTGGTTTCTAAGTGATGTTTCACTCATATGGTATAAAATAAGTTATACATGTCATATTCATGAGATTAACATTATTTCCTGAAAAAAATGTCTGATTCAGATCACGAGACAACATAATGAACCAACGATTTTAATATAAAATGCAACAAGGAAGAGTGAGTTTGACTTCACTTTCACTTGCATATGCTAATAACAATGAATGAAAACTAGAAACTAGTATGTGAAACAAAACTCACATCTTATTGTTAGAAAAATAAAGATATGATGTATAGTATGATAGGATAGTCAAGCAGAAAAACGTATGTAATGATGCTTTAACAGAAAGAGAAATGAAGACATTCTTGGTATGATTTTTTTTCTTTTTTTGTCTTTAAAGATGCTAGAAAATTAACAAGACTGGTGGGTAAACAGTGGAACAGTTCAGTCTCAGCACAATATTTGCAAAATTAGGTAGTCTACATATAAAACTAAACAGCTAGAAAACATACACAATTTTTGCATAGAAACTATTTCCTTACAAAAGAAACATTTTAAAAAATTGATTTCTTATTAATAATATTCTCATGGTAAAACATATACTAAAGGAACTGCCTTTTTTCTCTGTCTTTTTTTTTTCTTTAAGATTTAATATGTTCTTCTAAGGTCTTATTTTCAAAACCTCTAGGGAAACTTTCTTGGGAATACTATATTAATCAGCTAAGAAAAACTTTATTAGAAGTAGAGAAGACTGTCCGGACATCAAAGGACTGTCCAACATCATGTGACACTGAAACATATTCTATGCTTGAGTCTTGACTGTTGTACAGTTTTAGTCTTTAGGAAAAAAATTGTGCTTCAATCTGCTGCTGTTCAGTTTTAGTCTTTATGGAAAAAATTGTGCTCCAATATGCTGCTCTAATTATGTTCTGTGGGTATTGCTTATTTGAACTAGTTAAGCCTTTCATTACATAAGGAAACTTGATAAATCTTTCAAGTGTTTCCTGAACTAGATAAAGGGTGCATTAAATATCTGCCACCCTGCACCCAAGGCCTTCTTTTACTTATCTTTTATCAAATTCTGTATTTAAAAACTGAAATCAACTTGGAATAGCACATTTAATTATTTTACACAACTGAAGCAAGGTCTTGAGAGAATGTTTTTCATTTGTTTTGTTTTTCTTAATCTTGAAATTATACATAGGTTGTATTTTGTTTCGCTTTGTGTGTATAAAAGTCTAATTTTGCTTGAATTTCATTGCCAAAAGTATTTGGGACATTTACAATTTAGTTTCAATCTACAGGTAAAATCTTCATTTGGTAGTAAATACATTAGATCAAACTTTTAAAGTTCCTCTCTCTCTCTTTCTTATATACTTCCCTAAACAAAACTAAATAATGGGAACATATATCATACTTTAGTAAAAATAACTATAGATTTAATCAAGGAAGCAAAGATAATATACTTTCATTGGACTTAATTTTATCTTTTTCATTTTCATGAACTAAAGTTCCTTCAGTTTCAAATTATAAATCTGATAATTAAAACCTTGTCTATATGGCAGGTTATGATGTCTTAATAGCACCTAGTAATTGACAGCAGTGTCTTATATTTAAAAATCCAATATTTAAATTATTTCCTCATGAATTCTTTCTTCCCTGCCAAATATGCTTGCATGCTTCTCTTCAGAAGTTTTAACATTATGCCTATCCACACCAAAAATAACTTACAAACAAACAAACAAATGAACAAAGAAGATTAACTAGAGATAGAGTATGATTCATAAGTATGCCAAATAATTTGCATGGCATATACATGTACTTTATATGGAGACAATTTTTTATGTTTTCATCTTTCCTAAAATGCAAAATATGAATTTTCCTTAAATATCTGAAATGGAATATATATAAGTAAATATACATAATAATATCCACCAGTAAATCTTCAAATATGTAAAAAGGCAATTCCTACCTCCATCTCCAGATCCTGATCCTGCATCTGTGGGGGGAAAAATTATATTTGCTAGTAAAACACATTCAAAAATACTTATGACTTTTTAAGCTCAAGTTTACTTTCTTAGTTTAATACTGCAATAATATTGTTTGAGAAAAATACTAATATTTAATCCAAAAATATACATTCACATCAATTTAATTTAATATCTATTAATGTAACTTCTAAAATAAATTATCCATCATTTTTATTCCAAAGCTTTATGAAAACATTATTGCCCAGTTTGGAAAATTTCCTAATCTCGACTATGAAAAATTCCTAATCTTGACAGGCTGGATTTGGTGCCCTTAGCAAAATAAAGTATTAAAAATGAGATGCTTATAACAATCAGTAAGTTTCAGAAATTAAATAGTCTAATGTCTGTGGCAAATAAACCCATAATTAAGGCTTATATTCTTGCAAATTGCATATGAACAAAGAGAAAAGCAGTTTAAAAAGAAATATTTTTATATGGGTGTTGATAAGTTTTACGAATACCACAATTGTGGATGATTCCATCTGTGACAAATCATCCTTTGTTTTTGACATCAGTAGAAGAGAGCTTGATTTTTGCCTTTGTGCTTGAAGTCCGATATTCACTAAATGATTCTTGCAGAAAAAAATCATACCTCCTCTTCTGGATTTTTCTTTCACTATTTCCTCTCTCCCCTTCCTCCCATTAATTACAATTGGTCAACGCTGTTTATTTCTGGGAAAGTAGTTCCCAGAAACATGCAAAATTTCAAGTTGAAATCAAAACCACTGAGGTTCCATCTGCTTCTACTTCTTAAGTATAGATATCATATTCCTTCTGCCTTTCCATTTTTGTTCGTCCACAATACATTTGGTTATGTATTTTAATGTTAATACAGGGAAATAAGATTAATATTGATATTCTCTGCCTGATGTGCCCTTATCCCACAGTGAAATCTCACCCAGGGTTCAAGACTTATACCAAATGCCACTCTTAAGAATTTACGGTTTTAGTCCAATTAAAATAAAACATGACTTTTACTTGTTTGCTTGCATGATGCTTTATTGAGAAGCACCACATAGAAAGAGGCATGGTATATGAAAATCCACAGAAGGCTGACATATATTGAAGAAGGAAGGCCTTCCCAGCAGCCCTCCTTTTTATCATATATTGGCATTAGCAGTACCATGAAGGAGCAGTAGTTTGAATTGTCAGTCTTGTTGGAGACCCACATTAACTAAATTTATACAGTCTAGCACTACTTGACTATTAGAATGTCAAGTAATCAATTAACTATTAATGTGACAAGACATATGTCTTTGGGGCAGCATATCTTTTCCTTAAAGGCAAGTAAATTGGTAAAATAATTTATGATAAAATTTATTCTTAGTAAATGTAGAATCAAACAAGGATTTTAATCATAAGAATTGACTGTTTAATGATAATAGATCAAGAAAGACTGATGAATTCACGCTGATATTAGAATATTCCTACCAACTGAACTGACTGTTATAAGTCACAACATCATCTCTTTTGGACAGAACAGTGCTTGAGTGCTTAATGTTTGTCAAGTTTCCTTTTTGTATACTTTCACAGACAAAAATTTTAATTGATTGTATTTGCATTAATTTGAAAGCTTAATTCAGTATTATACTCATTCAGGGCTAAATAGCAGGTTGTGGTATTATAGTGATAACACATTCTAAATATATTTTAGTTAAATGTATATAGTTTATTTTAAATTTTCCCCTATAAACTTCTTTCAGTCAAGGAAAATGTGTTGTTTATCACTCTACACTTATATGAACATAAGCAGAAATGCATAAAGGCTTAGGAGTTCCAAGCTCCAAACCTTACTCATTGCATGATAGAGAAATGTTATTCAACTTTGCTAAGCATATTCCTCCTCTATTCAATGGGTATAGTAATATCTATCCAATTGGGCTATTTTGAGGCTTACTGCACAGTAGTATATTTTAAGTGCTTAAGCACTGTCTGGAACATAATAATTAAAATGTAGAGTAAACATCTTGCCTATGCATCTACGGGTATTCTAATAAATACATATGATTGGGAAAAATCAGAAAAAAATGCCGATAGTATTTTATCTTGTATTTCCCACATGCATTTCTAAAACTTCAAGGGGCATGGTTCTTAAGACAATATTTGATTTAACACAAATGAAACAGCCAGGGAAGAAAAGAAGGAATAGATTAGAAAAATGATCACTTAAGTTGGTGGCATCATTATGAAATCGTTATGGGAAGCTTTAATGTTTTCTCTATTATATGATGAGTCATCTTGGCCAACTGATGATAAGTAGCCTACTAAAGTCTTATTAGTGAGACAGAAACACCTAAGAAAATAAGTCATGCTGTGAGACCTAAATCTGAGTTCCTAGTTAATGCATTTCTTACAAGGCAAAAAGTTAAATTGACAGTAAGACCATTGAGCAGATTTCCCAATAAGAATCCATTCTCTGGACAAAAAAATAAAGTTCAATGAAATATAATAAATATAAAGTTATATCTTCTACTGCCTATTATTCCTAGAGCTTACAACTTGCCACTTTCATTCATTGTCAAACAGCATTAAAAAATAAATGGGAAATATACAAAGAAAAGAATGAGAATCCCTTTTAGATCAAAAGTCAGAACCCCAATTTATTTACAGTCAGATCTGGTTAATGAAAATTACTTTGTTCTCTCCGTCATTATTCAGATCAAAAACCTTTTAGATTTACAAGTCCATGGAAGATGCATTCAGCAAGACTGGCTTACTAATTAAATCTTGTAGAAATCTAAGTATGTGAATGAGCTAAAGATGGATTACTCGATTGTGATTAAATTTTCTACTTGGCTAAGTATTTATTTTCATAGTATAACCAGCACATCAGGGACTAGAATGGAAAGACTTGAATGATTCAGGAGAATGTGATTATATGCACTGACAAGAACTTGGAGGTTGGCAAGTAAGAAAGAAAGATTTTGCTACATCGGCCATAACCGTAACTTCTGATCTGTTTATTATAATAATTGCCTGCCAATTCTCATGTGGTTATTGTTAGAAAAGAACAGATATTCTCGATGATCTTGAAAAAGCAAATCCTTTCCTCAATACTCTATGGTATTTGCCTTCATCCTTCCTGGTTCCTGGGATTCTACTTTTTTTCTATTCAGTTTGTCCTAAAGTATTATTTCTCATTTCTTTGGTATAGCTGATTGATTCCTCATAATTCGTTTGCTCCTTGTCATACTTTCTATATCCCTCATCCTTAGCATGAGAACAGCATGCTGCTCATCCTCCTTTCCTACTAGAGAAGGCTGCCCATTGACTCTCACATATTGCTGTACCTTTTATTCATGACTTGTCATTCACAGACCAAGCAGCAATGACCTGCTTGCTTTAGCAAATAAGCAAATGCAGTACCAGTTCAGCTTGCCTCCTGACCATCCTTTCATGAAGAACATTCACATCTAAGCGAATAATCCCTTAGGAAAAAAGACTGCTAGAAACCAAAACCAAAACAAAATATCATTGGCCATGAGATATGATACTATTCTCTTTCTTCTGCTAATTCTCAGAAACTTGGGTAGTCACCAGTATAACTTTACTAACAATCAATACGCTTAAGACAATCTTTTAAAGAATACGAGGCTTTTCTCTTTGCTCATTTTCCACACTGCCCCAGCCACTTAGCACATAACTTTCAACATCATACTCTAGATTAGAAATACCTGTTATCTAAGGGACTTTTGAACAAAATAGACTTTTCATGATGCTATTCTCTGCTCCTATTTTTGAAGAAAGTTTATATTTGATATCATTGTTATTATTCCTGAATATGCTTATATCATCTAAATTCTCAGGAATTATGACTTCCCAGAAAGATGCTTATTTGCCATTAAGAACAACTACCATGGCATCTTAAAGTCTCTATAATACATGTGACTTTGATATCAAGCTTAACTTGAAAACTCAGGCCCATTTTAAAGCACTTCCCATTTTAAAGCATAAGCTCTAACAACTACTATAGATAGAAGGAAAGCTTGAAAAGCTATAGAGCATATGAAGTCTCTCTTTCTTCTTACTTCCTTTATAGCATTGTTGGTAAACTTGACTGAAAAACTTTGTAGAATTCCAGGTTAGTTGAGTCAGAAATGACACATGTCATTAGAAATTATGTCTACTACAAACACATTTGTCAATATAATCTACTAAATAATAAGACCATTTTGTAGAGCTAAGATTAGACATCAACTTCAGAGCCCAAATCTGCAAAATTGCCTTCCAGCAGATAATGCTATTGTTCAAAACAAACAAACACACAAATAAATAATACAACTTTATCCATACATAGTCAGGTTTCTCCATATTTGGCATGTTGGCAGTCAATCTAGATTTCTAATTATATGTGACTTTTATTCAAACTGCCTGTATTTCATTTAATAACATATGTCCTTAAATCTACCACTGTCCTTATGGTAGATACCCTCTTTCTTCCAAAAGTGACTTGAAATGTAAAAATGACAAAGAATAAGAATAATAAATGCTTTGAACAAAACAATACAGGCTTGTCTAGTCAATATATAATCTGAATTATTTATTGGGAGATGACATAACAAGAAACGAAAGACATAGTTTTTGGATTTGGAATCCAGGCAGAAGGTTTCAAAGAAGATCATACACATACCTGTGGCACATGATCCTTCTGACACCACAAGTATCTCACTCTGCTGTTTGCATGCAGCCTGTCGCAGGTAACACTCATTCTGGTAGCTCTCCCCATTGGAGCCACACACAGGCACATAGTCATTGTTGCACTGGGAAATACACAGATGTAAGTCTATAGTTAGTACTGGAGACTGCATCCCTCTGACATGATGAACAGAAGTAATAATTTGCAAAAGAAACCACTTGTCTTCATTTTCAATGATTCTAATTGTGTCCAATGAGTCTTCATAAGGGCATCATTGAAAGATTCACAAAGCCAATTTCAAGTTAGCCAACCAGTCATTTGACTTAGATAGGGCAAAAATAAGCATCTAAATTGATCAGGCAATTCCAACAAAGTGACTGCACAAGTAGCACAACAAAGATATAGCAACAAACATATGAATACTACTTAATATTATTTTTAGTATGTAGCCCATATGACTTGATGGGAAAAATTAAAATACAGTTTAATTTCAAGCTATTCAAAAACAGGTAATGTCTATCTGTGTTAGGAGTGGAAGTATATGGCCAAAATGCCAAATAAATGAATTAACTCTTAGTTGTTTTTTAAATTGAATTTAATTGAATTTTTATTGAATTCTAGTCCTTGTAAATTTCTAAATATTCAGATAAGACACTGATTTACTTATTTATTTTTATATCTCTTTAGACTATTGTATACTGATATGGATATGGTCTAGAGAGAAACAAAATTATGGAACACAGAGAAAAATTTAAACAACTACTGAACTGTAAGTAAATTTTACTGACTATTCCAAAGTATGTCTATTAATAGATATTCCATAAAGAGAAAAGTTCATTTTTAAAAGAACCTCATTATTAAAAAAGTATATATATTACAGTGAAAATTAAGGCAACCTACAGAGTATAGTCATCATAATATAATCATACTCTAAGGCATTAATGACACTTGGCTTTGTCCTATGCCTGCTAATTACACCAGGGATGTGATTATCTCATGATTACTACTACTGATGTGCTTCATTGTTTAATTATAAACAATATAATGATCAAGATTATTATCTGTATATGCTCACCTATGCCAGAAACTAAGAAAGGAAAATCATACTTACAGATGCATGTAAAAACTCTTCTCTATGTTTTACTTTTATCTAATATATTTGAATCTTTGATGTTCTGTGAGTTCAGAATACATACAAAATAAACCAATAATAGAGTGAGATGGGTAGGAAAGTTTAAATATATATGATAACAAACCTAAAACCCTATCATAAATAAACTTCAACTCAAGAATTTATGCAAAAGAAAACACCTCTCAACATGTTGATAATCCGATTGATTAAAACCTGAAATTTATTATTTTACTCCATTTCCTTACAATATCTAAACTTCCTTATTCCTAACCATCTATTTAACTCTTGCTCTTTGTCTTTATATAATAATAGCTTAAGTGTCATAACAAATTTAAATGTCAATGTTCTTTGAAATGAAAGCCTAATTTTATGAGTTTTATTTTTTATATATTATTAACAACTTAAATATAATGTTTTGGTAATTATGATCAACTTTTTTCCAAACAGTAAACCCAAATGGGATGACAGTCATATTAAGATGACCATAATTACTAACAGATTGCTTTAGCACATATTTTAAAAACATTCTTTATCTTAATTTCTACAATATATAATCTAGACATTCTGCAAGTCCTCTATATAGTAATTCTTTTCCACAGTTACATTATTGTCTCCCAGACTCAGTCTATGTATGTGATTATATTTAAAAAACTGTTTTGATGGCTTACGCCTGTAATCCCAGCACTTTGGGAGGCCAAGGCAGGCAGATCACAAGGTCAGGAGATCGAGACCATCCTGGCTCACACGGTGAAACCCTGTCTCTACTAAAAATACAAAAAATTAGCCAGGCGTGGTGGCGGGCGCCTGTAGTCCCAGCTACCTCGGGAGGTTGAGGCAGGAGAATGGTGTGAACCTGGGAGGTGGAGCTTGCAGTGAGCCGAGATTGAGCTACTGCACTCCAGACTGGGCGACAGAGCAAGATTCTGTTAAAAAAAAAACAAAAACAAAAACAAAAAAACTGATTTGATTAGAGCTTTTCACTAATCTTTTGCTAATGTTTAACTCAATCAGCAACTGACTTCTGATTAGACGATACCTGTGTAAGCACTGTTTTCCAGGAACTTTCCAAAAATTTGTTTTAATTTACATCTGAAAACTGACTCACCACAGGTCTGAGCATCTGCACTACTATTCAAGAAAGAAGGCAAGAGCAAAATGCCTGTGAAGATTTGAATTTTCCAATGAGCAGTACTGAAAAAACAAATAAATGTGGCTTGTGCTCATGCCAGAACTGTGGCCAGCAAGGAAAGTGCAGGGATAGGTGCTTGATAAATGTGCTATGATCAGAACCTGAGACAGGAGAATGTAGGTAGGATTATGTTGATCTACGAACACTACAATGGTGTCTGAGCACATGGAGGAGAGACCAGAAAGAAGGAAACAGCTGGTGACATTATGATCGCTAGACTTGCTGATCCTTTCAGTAGACAGAAGAGAGTCATAATATGTCTATGACTAGCTGGACTAACATCTAATGCTTGAGGCCTGACATTCTTGCCCCAGACTACTTTTCAATCTCCATCTCCATCCCTGCTTATAATACTTTGTGTGTAGATTATTTGGGTCCTTGTTTTCTTCTCTCCAATCCTTAAATTTTATTTATTTGTCCTTCTCAGATTACTCAAATATAGAGTCAGTGGACTGGGAGTGGGGAGTGGAAAGTATTTATTATCTCTCCCAACTGCTAGTACACAATGCTGATATGCATCTTAAAATATCGAATAAACTGATAAAGTGCTCATATGCCGCTTCTGAGGGATGCAGTAAGCCAAATTCGAACAGTTCTAAAAACAGAGCTGCCAAGTTCCACGCACAAGCCAAAAGGGAGATTTCTACAGAGCTGAAAAGAGCTTAACTGTAGATTACTGGCATGATGTTTTTGGCCCTTAGTATCAAGACTTGCACTCATTAATATGAAGAATACAAGGAGGACGCACATCCTAAATGATGAAAACTCATGAGTGGGAGTCTAGTCCTAGGTCCTCCTATTTCTTTCACTGCCTTGGTGTAGGACTTTTTGAATGTTAGTCAACAATGAAATATTTAACAGGTTTATAGCCTAGTTTTCCCACTTGAAATGCTTACCCGGAACACTTGGGAAATTAACAAAGTCATGTTTTTAAAACGAGAAACATCTTGTAATACTTACACAAAGAAATGTAAATTATTTGCTTTGTATGATATGTATTTTAACTCTAACATCAAACCATGGCATTTCTAGAACTAGAAAAACAAGAGGAAACAGGCTAACCCTAAGCATGAAATACGCTAACTACTGCATTAAAATATGCCAAATTATTGGAAATAGTTTTTAGTAATATTCATGATACTGCTCAGTTTCAGATAAAGAGACAGATTGAGATGTTAAGTGACTTGCTAAAGGCCATACAGTTGCCTGGTAAGAGGAAAAACAAGACTCGAGTTCAGATGGTTAGGTCCATAAATGTATGTGTTGTACAAACTTCCTCTCAGGGGGAAAAGTGATGCTATTTTTCTATGTTTTAAAATCTTATGTTTATTTTTCAAACAAGTGTTTTTCAATAGAAGAATTTTGTTCCAAAATGGGCTAACCCTCACACTAGTGGAGTCAATAACTTGACACACTAGAATGTATGAAATTCATTTTTGCTACAAATTAATTAAAATTATGTGAGAAGTCAGGATTTATTGCTTATTTGATTAATATAGGTTTTTTGAGCTGAGATTTCAGCATCTAGAAGCTTACGTATGACTTATGTTTTTATATATTGCCAGCCCCTTCCACAGAGTCTGGCATGTAGAAGGTGCTCAACAGATGTTAAGTCAATTCTGTTATATTCCCAGTTGTCAAAGGCTTAAGAAGAATGGCTTGGGATATGGCATATTTTTCTTCCAAAAAGGAAAAAAGATTTTAAAAATCTGCATATGTTCCAATCCTTTGGCCATTCCATAAGTAATTTTTACTTTTCTGTGATTTATATTTCCTTAAATGTAAACAAAATTATGATTTTAAGAGTGGACAGGCCTGTGACTATGGTGGAAATGACTCTGTGTGCCTTCCCAGGCTAGGTCATTAAAGGATATAGCTTCTACCTGGCTCTTTCTTTCTCTCTGGATGCTTGACTTTGAAACTCAGCCACTATGCTATGAGGAAGACAAAACTTGCCCATGCAAAGAGATCAACATGGAGAAGAAGAAGGTCTTCAGCTGACAGTCTGACATATGAGTGAGAACCCTCAGATCAGTATAGCACCAAGCCTTTGAATTCCCTCCCCTCACCATCAGCTAACGCCAAAGAGAGTAGAGGTGAGCTGTTTTGATTAAGCCCTGCCAAAATGGCAGATTCATGAACAAAATAAATATTCATTGTCTTAAGCCACTAAGTGCTGGGCAGTCTGTTACACAGCCTTAGTAATAAGAAAATTTTAGATCTAAAGCATGACTTATTAAAAAAAAATTTAGTATTTGAATTAGGTAATACCTGAAAAACATAAGGCTTCATAATATTTTTAAATTATAAAGTAGTTATTGATCATTGCATGAGCAGGGCTATCTATAAATATCTACATGTATCTCCCTTCCTTTTTCCCTCACTTTCTGCCTCCCTCCCTTCCTTCCTCTCTACTTTTATTCTTATCTATCTATCTACCTACCTACCTACCTACCTACCTACCTACCTACCTATCTGTCTGTCTATCCATTTACTGTCTCCAAATTTTCATCCTCATACTTACTGGGCTTAATACCTGGGTGATGAAATAATATGTACAACAAACCCCCATGACACGTGTTTACATATGTAATAAACCTTCACATGTACCCCCAAACCTAAAATAAAAGTTTTAAAAAGGGGAGAGAAAACAATAATCTCACTGAGTTGTGAGAAATAAATGAGATAATATGTTTGAAGGATAGAAATCAATTTATTTAAAATCATCTAAGAGAGGTGAAGACTAATAATGTTTACTTTAGTGTTCCAGTGATAAGGCAAATTGTAAACATTATAGATATAAAAATATATGCCCATTTCTCTTTGAAATTTATCTCTCAGCTAGAAAGACTATAGACTGCAGGCTGGGTGCCGTGGCTCATGCCTGTAATCCTAGCACTTTGGGAGACAGAGGCAGGTGGATCTCCTGAGTGCAGGAGTTTGAGACCAGCCTGGGTAACATGGTGAAACCGCGTCTCTACCAAAATACAAAAAAATTAGCTGAGAATGGTGGAGTGACCTGTATTCCCAGCTACTCGGGAGGCAGAGGCACAAGAATCGCTGGGAGACCCAGGAGGTGGAGGTTGCAGTGAGCCAAGAGCGCACCACTACTATCCAGCCTGGGCGACACAGCAAGACTCTTGTCTCCAAAAATTCCAAAAAAAAAAAACCAAAAAAACAAAAAAACAAAAAAACAAACAAAAAAAAAAGAGGAATGCTTGCTTGTACCTGAAAAGGCAGCAGAGAAAGAAACAGAAGTTTAGAATAATACATAGGAAAATAGATTTTCAATACCTCTTCCTTTTTATCAGATACTAGGGCTAAAATAACAAACACCAAAAAACTCAAATTCATATATTGGAGAAGATGGACTCAAGAGACTCTTAGCTTAAAATATCCTATTTATTATTCTTCATGCAACTTATACTTTTCTTTGATCTTCAATTTAATTCAGCCACTCTATATTCTTGGTATGTGCAAAGTCTACATTTTCCACTAGGGAGATGTTTATTTTTTCTTGCCAGATTGACAACTATTGCAAAGCACAAACTAATAGCAGTAGTAATACACTAGTACATTTCAAATGCCACGAGGATTACAAAAAGCAAATTTACATTTTAGTTTCTTACTCAAACTTGTATTCGATGCCACTCCCCCATTGATTCCACTTAACAATTATTTAAATTAATGCTAAACATAGCTGACTGACCAATGTATGAAAAACACACATATTTTTGTTGATAAAAGTTTTACCAAAATCTTCCGTAGCACGTATAAAATGAAAACAATTCCTTTAACAAGAAGATTATTTATTTTCATTTTGCAGCTTTACAGTTCTGTTCCTTTAGAGTTCTGTCAACCCCCCCTTTTTTTTTTCTCCTGGTGAAATCTTAGAACCATGGCTTTACACTTCAGGAATGCTTTTCCTGGTTCATTTGATATTTTTTATGAGTTCATTTCTTTTGTCTATCTATGGTTATGAAAATAAGACAAATTTATGGAAATCAAAAAGGGAAAGAAGGAAAAATTCACAAAATTCTCTGGGCCTTTAATTAGTGATTTATCCAATTGTGCTTTTTTTCCTGTTTAGTTAACATTTGGTTAAGTATGAATTGGGGAGTTCTCATGCTCTATCTCTCTCATGTAGTTCATTGAAAGTACATAATGACATTGTTTAATGTGGCTGGAGACCTTAGAAGTTGATGTTACATGCATATTAAATATGCATGAATATGTTTCTGACACTATGGTATGGTCTAAAAAACTGTACAGTCAGAGCAGTACTCACCCACCAGGAGGTGGTGCACTTTACAAATATCAGTTGTCATATTATGTTTCTTAGAAAGAAGAAAATAATGTCTAAGAAGGTTTTAGCATTTCTAAAAGCCACTTAAACTTTATTTAAATGTGAATTCTCTTCTTAGTGGGAGGTCAAATTCAATCTAAAATATTTAAATTTCATCAATAATTCTAAATATTACCTATTAAACCAGATATCTAGGTCTAAATTTGAGTTTAATGTTTTTATTTGTTCTATTTTTTTTATTCTTAGAAAAGTTTCCCTTATCTCACATGTAGTTTTGTTTATGTGCATATTTCCTGGTTGAGTCATACTGTTGGATTTTAAAAGTATTTTTAAAAGTAATTTAAAATGCTCAAGGGCAAATATAGGCTACTGGTACAACACCCATGCTACTTGAAGTTCTACATGATTATATGAACATTTTGAGAGGAAAAGGTTTATAACTTACATGGTGGAAAGCATTTGTTAGCTAATGAGCATCCTAATGACATTAAAAGTTCTATCTTTAATATATACTAGTAACCTAGTTTTGATGATGCCAGCTTTGTTACTTAAAATAAATTAACACAAGAAAAAGTACGTCTTCCTGATGTTCATAAAATAACTTGTGGATCTAAATGCTCTTTTGGATTCCTAGGGGATTCAGTTCTAATTGAGGGTGGTACCTATGAAAAAGCTGACATATATTAATTAATAAGTTCCATGATTTCCAAATTAGAACAAAGTTTTGAAGTTACACTAATAAGGAGTTAACTTAAAAACCTAATCAGGTTGCAAGGGCAATAAAGGCCAAGAGCATTAAAACAGATAGCAATAAGATAAAAAGATGATAGTTCCCATCAAAAAGAACAAAAGCACAAGTTCACACTTTTTACCCCCTACTTTGACTATTATGCCCAGTCAATTCACTTTTAAAATGATGCTAGAAGGGTCAGAGAAACATAATTTTCCTTTGACATCCCAAAAGCACAACCTGAAGCTTTCTACCTTCAGTGGCATTTATAACTTTGGCATATACATTTCTCCAAAAAGTATATGTCTTCTTGACATCAGTTGGCTCTCTTGCCAGTACTTTTGCTTGGTGCCAGCTTCCCTCTTAGCTTGCATAGCTATAAATTTCCAAGTGATAGGCTGTAAAGGGAGATCCCTGCTTTGCAGTCTCATTAATGAATTAGAAGATGCAAATATAAGACTTCTTACCTTGAACTGACAGACGCAAGTCACAGTGTCTCCAATTCTTAAACATTCCCCATCAAATTTACAGGTGTTGGTGTCACAGAGGAAGAGATCATTTTCTCTGTCATCATAACCTCAAATTTAAAGAGAACACTCCAGTCATTAAAACATGTTACAGATTTTTAACAAAAAACACTATCTTGAAGCTTTAAAATACTTGTTCTAAATTTTAAATCCAACAACTATAGCTGTACTGCAAGGTCACCATCTACTGATAACCTCAAAATCTAGTTAAGTGATCAATATTCGTTTCCATTTTCCACAATTCTTTTCTAGTCAATTCTCCTTTAATATCCTTTTCTGACAGTGCTATTTTTTAAGGCTTCATTAATATTGACAGTGGTGCTTAACATTTGCTTCCTGTTTTTTTTTTTTTTTTTTCTCATTAGGGGGACAATATTTATGACCACAAAACTCCACATTTTGGAAAAGAGCTAGTGATGATCTCTGAATGCCCTTTTACCACTTCCCCATCTTTAATTGTTCTTTTGCTTCAAGGACTGAAACAAACCCTTATTTGAAATTTATCCAGACAAAGAGGAAACAAAGCCTCAATAATAAAGATAAACAGGCACAGTGTTTTCTGTGATGGTCTGTTTGGCTCAAATGAAGATTGATCACCTCTAAGTTAACAGGGGTGGGAGCGGGGTGCCAAGTTCTTGACAACCTATCTGCAAAACCAGTTTATTCTCTTTAGTTTATGCCGTCCCCTTTAAAATATCTGGCAAATATTGAATTTCTTGATAGCAAATGTCAACTTCACCTTTAAGTTAGTTATTTCCTAAAACAATGCAAGGGCTAGGAATGAAGCAAACCAGTCTGTGTTGGACTACAAAGCCATCAACATTTCCAAAAACTGATTTTGCAGACTCAAAATTATTACTATAATAAAGCATCTAAAAAGTGATTAGGCAAAGCAAAGTGCAACTTATTCTTTCAAAAACAACACACATGTATGCATGAATCAAGAAGTTACAGAAACATGTTGAGTTTTATTAAAATGCCAAATTTAGAAACTGCCAAAAAAACAGAACAATCTATTGACCCAAATCTAATAGGATTGCAAATCTCAACTTGTCTTTGTAAAGGATAAATTAGAAGGATGCATAATAATTTTCCTTTTGGCATTTACAGTAGTAATAACTAGGAACTATACAGGCTTTCACCCTATGAGTTACAGTTGGTCATTCCCTCCTCTCTAAAGTTACATACACTTCAGCTCACATACATCCTTAAAGCCACTTTATTCACAGCCAGATTTAACTACAGCAAAATTATATTTACAGAAGATGAAAAATTACATACACAGTTGCTAAAACTAGAACAGACCACACCTAGGGGACAATACCCAGGCATGTTAACGGAGTTTAAAATGCCAAGGAAATTACACCACAATTCTGCCCAGTATACTACAGGCTGTCAAACCGAAATGCTATGCCAGCTAGGAGTGCAGCAACTCCCATTCTCTGGCCCTATTTAATTAGGAAGCTTCAGCAGAGCGAAGCCTGCCAAGCTCTTGCCGTCAGAATCTGAAGGAACCCAAGCGAGCAAGAAGAGTGCTTGACCCACTCCACGGAAGCCTGTCCAGAAATGGAGGAGTCAGCGCCCACTGAGGTCGGTTCCGCCCTCGGCTAGCCTACACGGAACCTGACCAGCCTCAGTTATGCCCACTCCAGCCTGGGAGACCCGCAAAGTGTTCTTTTTCTCAACTTCCCTCTACTAGGGTAGAGGGAAGGCTTAGGGAAGCAAGAGAGGGGCATAACTGGAATGCAAAACCAATGTTTTTTGTCACCTAGGAGAGAAGGAGGAAGAGAGAGAGAGAGAGAGAGAGGGAGAGAGAGAGAAGGGGAGAGAGAGAGAGAGAAATTGATTATATTGAAATCCAGCTCCTTTAGAATCTGTGTGACCTGGTCTTGAACGGGAGACCAGTGCGCCCTCATGGCACCTTTGCCAGGAATCAGCGATTCCCCTGCAGTCACCATTTGATTTATTGCTTTCTCGCTCATTCTTTCTCATAAAGTTATTTCTTCCTCATCCTAGTAAGACTTTTTTCTTTAATGATGACAAAGCTTCTCTTTTTGTGTTTCCCCTGGGATTGGTGTTCTTTCCAGTGAACCCAGAAAACCATCCCGTTTAATATTTCTCAAAATTCTCTCAGCTCCAATGTAAGCGCGAGCATGCAAAGGTTTCCTGCTACACCTGCACTTTCTACCCATCCCAGAACTACCCCCCACCTCCGGGCCTGGAACAGTTCTCCGTGTTTCTCTGGATAGAGGTGGGTGGTCTTAGGAGTCTAGGGCAGTAGGAGGTGAGGGGCTGAGGAGGCGCGCTAGGGTAGGCTGGTCTGTGCTGGATACGCGTGTTCTTCTGCGGGGTTAAGGGGTCGGGGACGGGGGTTCCGGACTTACCAGAGCAATTCCAGCCGGTGGGCGTTTGGCAGTCACTTAAGGAGGTAGGGAAAGCAGCGAGCTTCACCGGGCGGGCTACGATGAGTAGCATGATGGGCAGCAGCAGCAGCCAGCAAAAGCCCTCGCAAAGTGTCCAGCTGCTGCACTGCCGCGGGGACTCCCACAGCACCATGACTAGTTCGCGCAACTCTGCAGCAGCAAACGGCTTCCGAGGAACACAGGATCGCGGGGGCCGGGCAGCGGACTACTGAGCATCCCGCGGACGGCGGCAGCAGAAGCGGCGGCGGTGGCAGTGGCACCCGGCGGGGAAGCAGCAGCCAAACCCGCGCATGATCTCGAGAGTTTCAGCAACATCCAGGGACTGGGCTCAGCCCCGGGAGCGAGAGGGTCGTCTGCTGAGAAGCTGCGCCGGAGACGCGGGAAGCTGCTGCCATAAGGAGGGAACTCTGGGAAGCCGGGGGACAGGAGGAGACGGGAGTCCAGGGGCAGAGGAGCGGAGCCCGAGGAGGCAGGGTGGAGGGAGAGTCAAGGCGCCCCGCAGCCCGGCAGCCGCCTATCAAGCTCTGCCGCCCGCATCCCTCTGGCGTTTGGGAAGCAGCAGGTCCTCAGCCCGCCCGGGGTCACGTGGGAAGAGGCAGTCGGACTCTGATTGGTGGAGCAGGATGCAGGTCCCGGGAGGGAGGGGTCGACGAGGAGGTGCAAGGATGCAAGGAGGAGGCGGCCGCGGAAGCCACAGATGGGCTCGCTCGCCGGGCGCCGGCCCGAGTGGGGCTAGGCGGGGCTGGCTCAAGTGAGAAGCTCGGGCTTCATGGTGGGCTACCCGCATACTCATATACCACTAGCCTCACTCTCCGCTCCAGGACGCCTCCTACCGAGGGCGGGGTGCGGACTAGCGCCTCTCTTCCGCGCGTGACCCCGGGCAGCGAGCGCCGGCCGCGGCTGGGAGGCGTCTCTCCGAGCTGGAGATGGTGGGGGCGGAGGTGTCATAGGAGCAGCAGCAGCAGGGCAGAGAGGGGCGAGCCGGCGCGGGAGAGGGCGTCCCGCTGGCGCCCAGTGCTCCAGCGTGCGGGAGCGCGCCGCCTAGACTGTAGGGGGATGCAGGCTGAGAATGTCGTGGCGGAGAGGCCAGGAACGTTTTTCTAGGGATTTGCAGGGAGAAGAGGGTGAGAGGCGATGGTGTTAGAACCGCTCTGGCCAGCCTGGAAGCAGCAGCAGCATCTCCCACAAGAGCCTGCAACCCCAAGGCTGCTCCCCGAGCCAGCTCAGCCATCCCGGCAGGCGCTCTCCTTCCTTCTCTCTTCTCCCCTCTCTCCTCCCAGGCCCCCCGCAGCTCCGACCCAGCCCGAGCGGCCGCAGGTTTGAATCCCTCTCTCCGTCACCCGCTCCTCTCCAGCCCGTAGCCTATTCGTGTGTCCACCTGGGAGGTGCGGTCAGATGTGTTTGGAAGGTCAGATTTGGGCGGGACAAGTGGTCTGAGAAGAAGAGAAAGGCTCCTCCGCATACACCGCGGGTAGGTTGCCGGGAGCATCCGCCAGGAAGCGGCGTTCCGGAAGGGGAGAGCGGGCTCTGTTTTTTGGCTCAGGCAATGGCCCTGCGTGCCTTCCTCAGGTCTTTGCCGGATGGCCGGTGACCTGGGGCGACGAGAGAAGGTCTAACTCGGCAGGAGTCTCTGGCTCTGCGCGTTTCTTTCCTTCGCTCCAGCGGGCACAGGGCAAACGGCATAGCGGGACCCGCCTTCCGCCTGCTGCATTCTTCAGGCAGTTAGACACACTCTTTAGCCTAATGGAATTTTAGTCGCCAGTAACGGGACCGAGAGCTTTCCGGGACAAGGGTGGAGAGGAGCATCTTTCTTCCGTGACCGGGGTCACTATTGCAGTCTCAGTGTTTTGGAGGCCCCACATGGAAGAGTTTTCTTTTTTGTGTGTGATTATTTAGTGATTCCTGGTTTTTATTCCTTCTTCTCTCCGCTCTCCTTCTCTATTCCTCTCTTTTATTCTTCCTCCTTCTTCTCCCCCAGTTTTCAAAAGCCTCCAGATCCTCCCTTTTTCTCTCTATTTAAATTTTCCTTTTGTGCTCCTCTTTCTGTGTCCTCTGAATTTAGGAGAGCATTTAATAACATTTAACAGGCAATTAGTGTCCATTCCCAATCACTTAAAAGAGGCATTAACATACTTTGAAAATGGGACTATCTATCCTTTGCAGACACCACCAGAAAAACAAATTGTACCCGAGTAATCCTTTTAAGTACTTTAACCTCCAACCTCCTCCCACTTCCTCGCTTTTTAACTTCTCCTTTGAGAGATGTGATCGTGCAGCACCTCAGTGCCTCAAAGAAATCTCCTTTTTTTTTTCCTGTGTGAAATCCATCCCTTTATCTTACATCTCCGCCTCCGTCCGAGACTGTCCCCTTCCCCTCCCACCTCCAAAGATTTCTGAATCTCAGTGTCTCTCACTCCTGGCAATTAAGCAGCAGATCCCAGCATTCTAGTCGGTGGCATCTCGCTCCTCACCGACGCAGACTCCATTAAAACAGATCAATTTGACCAGACGTTGGAGGCATCAGAAAATCGGCTTCTAGACAGAGCAGCTAAATTCTTTAAGGAAACGGAATACCCATTAGATAGAACTGCCAACTAATATTGCAAAACAAGGAATTAGAGATTTCTTTCGCTACAGGCTTTCAGCAGAGAAGGAAACATAAATATAGATCAAGATTTAACAACTCTACAGCACAGAGTGAGAACATGTCATTTTCCATAGCAAAGATGGTGTGGTAACTAATCAAGCTTATGAAAATAAGTCATGCTTGAAACTAAAGGCAAAGTCCTTAAATGTGTTTATGCAGTAATTACGATAATGAAGCAGGACCTGCTAGGATTTCAGAGCTTGGCTACATAAGTAGGATTTTACAGAACCTCTTAGCAGAGGAAAACTCTTTTTGAATTTTCTGCTAAGTAAATTTTTGGCATACTTTCTAATAATATATACTCTTCCTAAGACGTTTTGCCGAAAGTAAGTTAAAACTCCAAAGGAGTTAATTACTGGTTGTGACTGGTTAACAAAAGCAGTTGCTTCCACAGAGGTCCTTTAAATTATTAAACAGTGTGAAGCAAAGCCTTTTCAATGGGAATGCTGCAATTTTATTGCACTTAGTATGTACTTAGTGTTATAGTGCCACCAAGAAACAAATTCTGAAACTGGCAAGCACCACCAAGTGGCAGAAGAACATCACTCATTGAGCAGAGAATTGTGTTATTGAATATGTAAATAAAAATATATACATTATTTAGACTCGTCACTAGGTACCAAACAAGTAGACAAGACTGCATTAGCAATTGGATTAGTGCTTTAACTTTTCCCCAACAAGGTGAAATCGGTTTACATATTAGAATTAAATTTAAGTTTATGAATTGTACTTTGCATTGTGTATTATATGATTACTAGTCATACGACACAAACGTACCGTGCATTTGCAAAATTCTTATTTTAAAAAACTATACCATATTTATTTTCAATCTTCTTGAGCTAGGATACTTTATTTGTGGCATACACACTCTAGAATTGATGCAGAGGGGTAGAGTCCAGTTGTTAGATTTTCCAGTAGAAATAGCTCAGAGATATTTTCTCCAGAAAACTTAAAAACATTTTGTTTTTTTCTCATGGAAAGAACATCAATATAAAGGGTGAGATTACTCACAGCTTAAGTCGGGGGTTTGGAAGTTATTCTTCAACAAGAATAGTTTAAGATAAATAAATGAACCTGGGAAAATAAGATACACTGCCAGTCAGAACTCTCTCTTCTTCATGATTTCGTACATTCTGATTGTTTCAATAAAGGTAAGATGTATCCTTTGCTTCTTAGGTGTCAGGCATTGTGCCATGGAGGATATAACATGTTATTTTTATTTAATCTTTAAAACACCCCTATGAGACAAAGAATATTGTTATCTCATTTTACAGAAAAGAATATGGCTTTGAAAGCATCAGGCAACTTGCCCCATGAAACAAATCTAGTCAGTGACACTGCTGGGACTCTGTGAAATTCTGCCTGACTTCAGAGCACAAGACAAAAGTCACTAATTTCTTCTGTATTGCTGCCTGTTAGCTTCTGAGAGAGGAAGCTAACTGGGAATGTATCAGTTCTATCCATCATACTTCTTTGTCTGCCCTTTCTGTGGAGCAGCAGTAAGGCCCAAATGTTAATTCTCAAACTTCAGCAATAAGATCCAGTGATTTCTGAACCTGGTTGATCATATGAATACCGTGAGAAACTCTGAAACAATAGACAAATTCCAAGTCCCACTATCAGGGATTCCGAAAATCTGGAGTTGGGCCCTGGGATCCATATTTTAATACTCATCCTTGTTGGAGAAGTAAGGTACCACCTATACCTATATGACAAACGAAAGGATACCTAGAGTTTTGCTCAGTTTTCACAGAGAGATTGCTAAGCCAGATTAAAAGCTTATACTCAGTATAAAGATGAGCTGTTGTACATGTCTCTCTGTTTTTATGCATATGTTCACCAAATATGTATTAAGCTTCTAATATTTCTGATACAGTAACTTTGTGACTGTAGACAATATCCTCATTTGTAAAATGTGAGTAATAACAATACCTGCCTCCTGGGCTTGTTCTAAAGATTAAAATAAAAATGTATGGCTTAACGGTAATGGATTTGGGGGATCCCCTATATAAAGAAGTGAATGGGGTATGAGTAAATAAATATATAAAGGTGAGTGTACTTATATTTATATACATAATTAAAAATGATTAAAGATGTACAAATTAAAGTAAATGAGTAAAATGCTCAGAATATGCAATACTGGATGGTGTTAATAATACAAATTGAAAAGAACTACCTTTACTAAGTCTTTTGAAGTATATGTTGATTATTGATAATGAAGTACAGTATAATTTCTGCCCCCAAACCTTAACATCTCATATTTAATAACTCATATCTTATTTTCTAGCCTACTTTAGATATATAGATATGGATAGAATGTTCTAAATCATTATTTCCTTAGTTTTAATGTATAATATTCATATGAAAAGGTATATATCAGTATGTAGTAAATGTATTATAACATTGTTTATAAATAAAATGATATTGACAATGTTTCAGAGAAGTCATCTTCATTTCTGGATAATTTTTCAAACAGAGAGTAATTAAATTTGCTATCTTTTCACCCTTTTCTACAATGGTAAATAACATACAAACAATGAGCTGTGATTTAAAAAAAATAATTTTATAATGTAAAAGTTTACCTATGCCTTGTTGATTCCCATGCCCTTAA